AGAAGGGGCTCTTGTTGCTTGGGAGGAAGTAAAGCGTGTTTGTCACAAACAAGATTAAAAACAAAAAGAGCAACACATTCTCTTGCTGTATTATCAGGCAGGGCTATTGCAGAGTGAAAGTAAGGAGAGCAAGGAGCAGCCACTTGGAGAAGCTATTTTACTTTTTCCTTTCTCAGAGGGACTTACACAGCCTTTTGTAAGGGCTTCTCCATGCCACAGAACCCACCACCACCTATTCTAATTCTTACAGAAAACTATCCAAATCATATAGAAAATACAAAGATGTTATAATGAATGACCCCAAGCTTGAAAGCACCATCCATTAACCATCAGTTTACATAAAAGGGGCAAGTTTTAGTCTTCAGGAGTTTGAATCACTCCGGGGTCCCTGGGATGAAAATACGATTAGAGGGAAATCTTGCTGAATGCACATCCGTGCCCTGATCTGCTTAGCAGGACAAGCAGGTAGAGCAGTGTCACCTCCTGTCCCCAGAGCCCTGAGAGGCCACTGCCTCTGTGGAGCCAGGGCAGGGCACAGGCAATGGGGCTGCTCACTGCAAATGTCAGTGCTGCACTTGGGACTGTGTCTGTGCCCAGGTCTAAAGAATGATGAGAAAGGATTCCAAGGAAAGGCAAAGACTACACCTGGTGATATTCAGGCAGAGCTCAGCAAAGAAAATAAAGCATGTTACAGCTCTGAACCCAAGGGATCCAGCGTCCCAATGAGGCCCACACAGCACAAAACTGCTCTCAGAGGCTGCAGAACAATACTGCATCAGTTGAGTGTTTCTGTTCAGGACACTGACAACTGACACGTAGTACTTCTGACACAATTTCTCACCTCTTCCCAAATGAGAATCACTTAAAACCCTGAGGCCTTGGAGACTCCCTTAGAAAGATTTCCAAACTGCCACAACCAACACAGCAGCACCATCCTGCACTGAAATCAAATAAAGCAACACTCACAGAGCTCCACCACTCACAGGGCTCACAGCAGCCACCTCCAGCCCCTCTGCTGCCCTTAATGCTGAAACCTGGGGCTCAACCCCCAAACCTGAGACAGCTCTTGCACAAGAAGTGAAATGGCAAAGCAAGGCAGAACCTGAACTCAGGTTTCCCCACCACAGTTTTTCACATCATCTTTAAGCCAGAACAACATCAGATCCCTTCTCATGACCTTGGAGTTATGGCATTCACTTCCCCAGACTGCATTTGGTTCTGATTAAACAGCAAATTAGAGCAACACTTGTACCAATTATTTCTCACTTGTACAAGTATGTAATTCTCCTATGTAATGAAAGAATTATCCAGCAGACAGTGTAAACATCCTCTACGAGATAATTGTAAATCAGGAATGTAAAGTCTATCTAAAGACTTTGTTATTTTTCCTTGCTCAGCTGACAAAAGATCATCAAGAATATAAAACACCAGAAAAGTGGGAGGGAAATAGTTTTGAATCAGGCCCCATGGAGAGCAAGAAGGGTCTCCCCAAAGGTCCTGACCATCAGCCACCCTCTCCAGACGCACTGCATCACTCGGCCATTCAACATTCACCAACAGTCAAGTGCTTCCGAAATCTCAAATTCTGACAGCTCTTAAGATTACACTTCTTTACGCCCCTGACAAAAGGCTGCAGAAATGCCACGCAGTTTGGATACATTCCCAGAAGTCAGAAGTTAGAAGACACATATCACTATCAGCAGTCTCAGTTATGTTTCTGACCTCTGCTGGATACGGAGAGCTGGACAGTGCCTGGCAGGAGGCTCCTGTCCTGCCTGGCAGAGGACAGGAGGGGCTCAGCTTGGTGCTGACAAGGCCACCCTGCCCGCCTGGGGAGAAGGGGGTTTCACAGATTATCCCTGCAGTGAGTGTGGCTTGATCAAGGGCTCTCTGGGACAATGGCAGGGTGGTAACCCCAGCGCCTCCCCAAACCCAGCCCCAGCTCTCACACCTTCAACCCTGTCGGCACACACAGAACCCTCGGCACCACCAGGACATCGCAGCTGACTGCTCCACAAAGCAGACATGACCAGATGCCCAAGACCTTGGCTGACAAGTTATCTGTTTGTAAAAGGACATTTTCAATTTGCAGCACACTCATTTCAAGTCTGTCTAAAAGCCATCTTTCCTTTTTGCCTCCAAAGCAAGGCTGTGTGGTACCATAAATTCATTCCAGGCCACAAGCAGATGTCTCAGACTCCTGTACATTGTCTTAGGAAAGCATAACACTCAATTTCTCTAAAAGACAGGGGAGCAACTGAGTCACTTTACATATTTTGGCAGTCACATACAAGGCAATGGGTATGTCCAGGAGGAAATAACATCACAAACTGGCAAGGAATGGCTACATCTACCCGTTCAGCAAGATTAGGTCCATGCTAAAACATACTGCTTTGAAGACGAAACTGGAAAGCATTCACCTCAACTATTACTTCTGTATTAACACACGGACATGAAAGTTGGAAGCCCATGAAACCACAGACAAAACCCTTCCACATGCAAACGCGTCACAGATGCCTCCTTAGCATGTCTCTGACAAGCGCAGAGGTGGCTCAACTCCCTCTGCTCCTCTTCTGGATAATTCT